AGGAAGAGAGAGAGAGAGAGAAAGAAAGGGAAGGAGGGAAGGAATTAACTGAGATGAAGGAAAGCATGAAAGAGGGAGGGAGGGAGGGAAAAAAGAAAGGTAGCTAGGAAGGAAGGAAGGCGAGAAGGAATTGAGTGAGAGATGACGGAAGGAAAGCATGAAAAAGGGAGGGAGGAGGGAAGGAGATAGGAATGAGAGAGATGGAGAGTATGAGGCAGGGAGAGAGGAAGGAATGAAGAAAGGAGGAAGTAAGAGAGAGATGAAGGAGAGCATGAGGGAGGGACGGAGGGAGGGAGGAAGGAGTTCTGAAGGTAAAATTCCTTTCCCAATTTATTGTCTTTTCCCCGAGCCAAGAGACCGGCCTTCCCCGTGAAGATGCTCCTGGCCTCCATGAACCAGAGAGACCATCTAACGTGAGAGCCGGACCTCCAATCAAACCAAATTAACTAATCCAATTAATCTGACCTGGATTACGAGCAACGTGAGGAAGGGAGCCTGCTCCAAAGCCATTGGCCACTTTTTGCCCAGAAAATACCACCCGGCACCTGAACTTTCAAAGCCCCACCTCCATCTTCATATTAAAACAAACTTTATTGAATATACAATTAAAATAAACGAACAACCACATACACAACATAGAAAAATAGAGAAAACAAAAAAAAATTAATAAAAGGCAATCCCATTATCGACAGTTTGCGGTTCCTTATTTGTTATCATTATTGGTGTCACATTTACAATTAAGTCTTAATGAGAGTATACAGTTATTACCTCCTTTACGGTTTAATAATGTTTACTATTATATTACCTATCTTTGTTCTATCCAATCATACCAACATTCCCATCTTTATAAACAAGCCAGCCAAGATGCTCCCAACCCCGCCTGGCTTATTCTGAATCGTTGGGCTTAATTCAGGATCTCCTCTACCGCCAGGGACGCCCGAATAATCCAAGTACAGGGGACCAATTAGAGCCATTTCGATCCAATTCCTCATGCGGGAAGCATCTTCTATTTCAGTGAAGACTGACCTTTTCGTTGCCGTGTACCAAAAGTGTGCGCATGTGCGGCTGCACCCATAATGCAGCACAGGCACACGGCCTCCTGGACATGTGCAACAGATACCCGACAACCAGCTGACTGTCGGGAGGCGTATGTGCAGCGCATCTCTTCCAGACGACCGGCAGAAATGGCTCTGCGTGTCACTTCCGGCATGCGTGACATAGGTTCGCCATCACAGTCCTATTTTAACAATGGCAGCTGGCATGGGTCGAAGCATGCCAACTGGGCGGCACCAACGCTGTAAGCTGCGTATTTTGTTTTTAATTCGATAAAAAGTTCAATTCTGAAGCAGGCGAAGAGAGATGTACTTAAGGAGCCGAGCTGGAGGATAGTATTGATTCCATTCCCCGTCCAAAGCGGGAGGAATCGAACTAGGGCCCAGCGGGAAACGGGAAGCAGAGCTCTGTTTATTATCAATATTCCCATGGATGGACAGGGCTGGGTGGGAAGTCTAAATAAGGACATTTGGAACACTTTCCCCCAACTTATGACCATTGCATCATCCCCCTCGACTACGTGATCAAAATTCAAGACAGTCAGCGACTCTGTTCTGACCAAGGTTTCCGAGACCGTAATTACGCACACGCTTAGTCCAAACAACTCGTTTTATTTCAATGCTGGGAATTATGTTCATTCCCAGCCTGTAGTGAGTCCCAAACAGTCCCTCGAGATAAGCACCCACCTTTCTCTCCTTTGAATTCCTCCCAACCACAAAAGTGCCAAATGAACTATAAAAAACCAACTGAAGTACAAAGTCCAGACAGAGCTTCAAGGTTGAATCCGAACAGAGTGAACGACTTTGCTTCCTGCAAAGGTTTCTTCACCTTTTCCTGTCCTTTATACCTTAGGGGAGGGGCAATCATTTCCCAGACTTACTCTTGAGTTGCCCATTTTATCTCAGCTGCTCTTTCCTTCTAGCAGCTCTGTGCACACGCGCACTGGGAACAGTCTCCCCTTGCTCCTCTGCCTCACTGCTTCCAGACTCTGGAGGCTCCAGAGTCAGCACCCCACTCCCAGATGGTCCTGGCCCCATCTCTGCATCGGACGCAGGACCCTCGTCCGAGCCCTCCCCAGACTCCCTGGCTGGCCCCCATTCTTCCCCACTGTCGGATTCCACAGCCGTCTGCACCGGGCCAAACCGGTAGCTTACCACTACTGTAATACAGTCTTGTTCAATAGTTGGACAATATTGAGGGAATTATTTGTTTAGCAGAGCGATGGCGTTCGGGGAAAAACTGTCCTTGTGTCAAATGGTTTTGCTGTGTAGCGCTCTACAGCGTCGTTTTGAGGGTAGGAGTTGAAATAGTTTATGTCTGGCATGTGAGGGGTCAGGAGATATTTTCACAAAGCCAAAACAGAGGCCACTTCGGACTTAATAAAAACCAGGCCACCCCAATGGGATGACCATGCAATCTGAGCATCGACGACCCAAACTGGTTTTCTGTAGCATCCCGAAACCTACATGGAAATGCCACCCTCAGGTGAAGTTCTCCTTAAAGACCCACCCCAAAAGCAGCCGAGAACATGCTATGAAGCTCCTAACACGTCTTTGGAAGAAGTAGAGCAGATCTTTGCAAGTTCATCTCGCTATAATCACTTATGATTGCACACAGTGGACACCAAATAATAAAAGGAAATGTGCGCGCTTCCCACCTGGAGGGCCGAAAGGGGTAGCAGCAATAACCCAGAATTAATTAAGATGATGCTGTTTGCTTGCTGGTATAAAACGGGCATGGTTGCCATCACAATGGAGCTTCGGTAGTTGCTCAATTACACTTTTCCCCCTCCGGAGTCGTAAGCCGCGGAATACCACTAAATCTACAGAATATCACAGTCAATTTTACTGTTTCTTGCTCCGAGATGGAATGTACTTTTAGGACATAACGTCCTCAAGATTAAACCTAAACAACGGATGAAACGAAAACCATAGACAGTACGGTCTTTCCAAGAGAAATGTACCGAGGTTAAGATGCTAAAAAAACGTATTTTAGAAGCACACATTAACACACACACACCCCGCCAAAAAAAATAAAAAAAAATAAAACGGATTCTCCCACTGCTGAAACTTAATGAAAAGGATGTTTGATGGATCGCGTTTGGTAAAATGAGCGCGACGTTTTGGGCGCTAGCAATAGCACTTAAACTTATCTACTGCTTCATGGTGCTTTACGGCCCTCTCTAAAGTGGTTTACAAAGTCAGCCTCTAGCCTCCAACAATCTGGCTCCTCATTTCACTGACCTTGGGAAGGATGAAAGGCTGAGTCAACCTTCAGCCGGTCAGGATCAAACTCTTGGCAGCGGGCAGAGTCAGCCTGCAATGCTGCATTCTAACCACTGGGCCAACATGGCCCTTCCCTCCCTCCCTCCCTTCTTCCTTTCTTCCTTCCCACTTAGCATTTAGACTTATATACCACTTCTCAATGCTTCACAGCCCTCTTTAAGCGGTTTACAAAGTCAACAGCCTGCAATGCTTGCTGCATTCTAACCACTGGGCCACCACGGACCTACCTTCCTTCCTTCCTTCCTTCCTTCCTTCCCACTTAGCAGTTAGACTTATATACCGCTTTACAGTGCTTTACAGCTCTCTGTAAGTGGTTTACAGAGTCAACTCTTGCCCCCCAACAATCTGGGTCCTTATTTCACTGACCTCAGGAAGCCAAGTCAAGCTTGAGCTGGTCAGGATCGAACTGCTAGCAGTGGGCAAGAGTTTAGCCTGCAATACTCATTCTAACCACTGCGCCATCGTGGCTCAAACAGGTCTCCCTCTCCTAAAAGCCAGTCTAGGGTGCTAAAATTAAGCCGAGCACCTACATCTCATACCAGATACGAACACCGTCCTTGGACTGTACATTTAGAAGGAACGAAATGCCAGGACCTCGGATCAGGCCACCTGGTTTATTGTTGCAGCCGACCGGATGCCGCCTTTGCAACCACCACCTGTCCTTTCTCAAGTCGTTTCCACATGAAAGGAAGTAAATGTCTTATGGATTTTTTTTTTTTAAAAAAATTCTGACCATCAGATCTTTTATGTATCACATAATAAAAATTTGCTTTTTAGTGGTTCCGGATGCTGCTCTGGGAATTTTGAAATAAAGCCATAGTTCAAATATAGGCAGGCAGTCGCCACTTAAAAGAGAATAAAACATTACAGAGGAACTGAGATCTTAGCATTTAAGAAGCTGAATAGGACAGTGTCTGGGAAGAACTTGAAAGTTATAATTTCTGAGAGTTAGTACTCGTTTTCGTTCTCTCTCTCTCCCTTTCCCCCCCTCTCTCCCTCTCTCTCCCTCCCCCTCTTTCTCTCTTACTCTTTCCCTCCTTCTCTCTCTCTCTCTCTCCCTTTCTCTCTCTCCCTCCCTCTCTCTCTAATTCACTGCACTCATTAGCCCTTTGAAATAAAAACAAAACCTCTTAAACTTAATTCTCCCTTTCTTACATTTAAATTAACGCTATTCCTGCCAATTAATGCACTAAAGACAAACGTTTTGTATTACAAACCAGGAATTAAAATGCCTGGGTGGGTGGTGGGGAATTGTTACCTTCCCATTGAAGCCGTGGTGGGATTCGGCCGGTTCACACCGGTTTGGGAGAACCGGTTGCTAACTTTTCGAGCGGTTTGGTGAACGGGTTGTTGGAAGGAATCCTTAGGGCAGAGAACCAGTGGTTCGATTATTTGAACGCCACCACTGCACTGAAGCATGAATGACGCCCAGCCCAGGCAAGATCGACGCGGCCCAATCCCATTTTCCCAACTGAAAAAAGCAGAGGGAGGCAATTGCTTGGCTTTCTAAACCAGGTTTCTGGAGCTCAGTGAGGATCTGAAGTAGAGAACATCGCCTTTCTGTCTCAACTAGGCAGAAAAGCCAACCCAGCAGCAGCACCAGCAGCTGGGGATAAACATCAGAGGGACAATTAACCCAGTTTGAAACACAAAGTCCTTTACCTGTTTGCGATGGCCGTGTTCTGTTCTTTCAGGATCAGCTCCCGTTGCTGAAGGCCAATTATGTGCTGGGAGACATCGTCGGGACTCCTGAATAATTGGAAGAGAGAGATAAAGAAGAATGAGCAGGCTAAAGGGTTAAAAAAAAACACAGCAGCTTTTTCTTCTATTTCTTCTAAAGATCCGGATGGCTACAAGGTGATAAGGAGGGAGGTGTATAAATGACAGCTATAGGATATTGAAACAATTTGGGTGCAGGGTGGATAGATGGAGGGAGGAAAAGGACAAATAAAAGGAAGGAAGGAAAAGGAGGGAGGGGGGGAGGTGAAAGAAGAAGGGAGGGAGGCAAGAAGGGAAAGGAGGGAGGGGGGAGGAAAAAGTGAGAGATGTGAAGGAAAGCATGAAAGAGGAATGGAGGAAGAAGGGAAGGAGGACGGAATGAGAAGGTAGGTAGGTAGGAAGGAAGGAAGAAATTGAGTGAGATGAAGGAAAGCATGAAAGGGAGGGGAGGGAGGGAGGATCTGAGAGAGAGATGAAGGATGGGGTGCATGAAAAAGGAAGGAAGGAAGGAAGGAAGGAAGGAAGGGAGGGAGGGAGAGAGAGAGAGATGAAGGAAAGCATGAAAGGGAGAGGAGGAAGGAAGGAAGGAAGGAAGGAAGGAAGGAAGGAAGGAAGGAAGGAAGGAAGGAAGGAAGGAAGGGAGAGAGAGATATGAAGGATGGAATGCATGACAGAGGGAGGGATTGAGGAAAGAAGAAAGGAAGGAAGGATTTCCTAAACAGAAAGGCACACCACTTCAAAATTCTTTATTTTTTCTTTTTCCCAAAGACCTTTTGCCAGAAGCTTGGCAAATCCACTGCTCATTAAGGAAGACTTCTCTCTCTCTCTCTCTCTCTCTCTCTCTCTCCTTGAAAACAAACAGAGAGAGATTCTAATTGTTCCGAAACTAATTGCCTCCCATCAGATAGGAAGAGACCAGAATCGCCTTATCAAACGCCAGCCGTGGCTGGTACAAACATTGCTTGGATGATGCTCCTTTTGTTAAGATCTCCCACCATCTCCCCTTGGCGGGCTAGACAAAGCCTCCCGCTTAATATCAGCCGTGTCAGCTATTGATAGCTGATGTACCCACCAAGGAGCAAGGTGAGAGATGTCAGCTGTGGCTGATGATCCGATATTGTATTTGAAATATGCAGCTTGTAAACAACCACTTGCCAAACTCCCCTGCAGGCAAAGAACCAGACAGAGAATTAAAAGGTAATTGATTTATTTTATTTTATTTTCCCCCGCTAATCCAGATAAAGGTTTCCAGCCGGCGGAAAAAAGCCCGCCACAGTTCCCGCAGGCTCCAGAAACTCCGGCAGGCCCAAATTATCCTCGCCTTTCCCCACTGCAAATGAGGGGGGGGGGAGGGGGGGAATTCATGCTCGGAGCCCCGAAGCATCTGGGTTTTTTTTATACCCAGTGCAGCACTGCCCTCTGTTGAACCGAAGGCTTCAAAGGATTCCCACAGAAGGTTTCTGTCTCACTGATGGATAGAGCCAGGTCTCAACTTACAAGAGTTTATTGTGTGACCGTTCCGAAGTCACCAGGGGATTGAAAGGAACGGACTTAAGTCCTTAGAAGCTTCATTGCATTGGTTAATTAGTTTAAAATGTATGTGTTGAGGTAATTCCCTGTTAGGAGAACAAGCGCACACAGGGAGACGTAGTGAGAGTGGTGATGAATAACAGACAACCAGCACACAGATACACTGTATAGTAAAATGTAGGTTTTTTTTACTTCCAGTAAACGGTTAAGCAAAGTCCAACAAACAGTTCAAGTCATACACGGTTAAGGCAGTCAGTATTCAGTCCAGGGATAATCCAAAAACAAAGCCCAGTACCATAAACAGTTCAGTAACAGACTTACATCAAATCCAAGAAGAACTATGATCAGCAACAGTGAAAATAGGGAAATGCAGGAACGGCAACATTCTCAGCAACAGAACAACCCAGGTTTCTGGCTCTATCATATGGCCGTTTGAGGAATCACATCCAATTACAATTTTAGCATTCCCTTAAAGAGACAGTATTAAAAATTCTGCCTCTGCCTACCAGCATCCATCGGTATTCACCTAGCTAGCGTCCTGTCAGTGTGTTAGAGAGTTGACGGCTGTTTGGAAACTGAAACAGTATTTGCTGTGTGAGCAAGGAGGAGACAGCAAGGAGCCTGGGCGTGGCTTAGCTCAACTGTTCTGCACTAAAGCTGCTTGGTGCTGTGAAAGTGAAACTGAATCTCCTCTCTTCTGCTTGTATTTTGCATTTGGAAGAGATTTCTTTTTTTCAGGTGGGGAGGGGGGAGTCTAACTCCTTAGCATCCGAGCGTGTTAATAATAATAATAATATAGGAAATACTCTATAAATGCTCTGATGGTCATTCCGAAAAATCTTTTCTTAGTGAGCCCCTGAAGCCAAGAGGAAGATATGTCCCAAATTTCAAGTTTGTAGGCTTTACAATTTTGGAGATTTTGTGATGACGCATTAGTGGTATTTCGCTTTTATATATATATTTCCTACACAAGGAAAAAAGAAGTTTTAAGATAACTTGTTCAGTCAAACAGGCAGATATGCATGCAGAGGTTTTCAACGGCTGCAAAAATGAGAATGTGAAAATTTGTACCCCAGCACTGTAAATATCAATATATAGTTTGTCTGATTTTCACTTACAATGTAGGGAAAACAAAGCCAACTTTGGTTTACTAAATAAATCTTGTTAAACAAGCATGGGTTTAGCAGGGTAGGCGACTGAGGCTATAAATATGAAAAGGGACAACGATTACGCACGCAGACAAATGTTGTTTTATTTATACCTGCCTGAGCTTCTGCATTAGGGTGGCAATTTCTGGAGATGCAACCTTTCAAGGTTATTCCAAAGTGGACTTTCTGAAGAGATTTTTGCTGCTTGGGCTTTCGATTAAAATCAAGGAATGTGGCATTTAATATGCCCCAAATGCAAAATGCAAAAAAAAATAAAAAATGATTCATGTATAAATAGAAGGGTTAGTAAATTCGCTGTTTCCCTGTTTTGACTGAGCCAATGAATCATAAGAACAGAAAGCATTTTTCTACATCAATAATAGCACTCCTGACAAAGCTTCTCCTTTGTCATAATGAGGGGAGCAAGCAACATTTAGATTACAGAGGGAAAGATTAGGTCTCCATGTTCACATTAGCCTATCATTAGTTTTAGGCAGGACAATACATAAATCATACTTAAGCAAAGCTCTCAACAGGCCCTTTGGAGTATGGCTAATTCTAAGCGCTGTCATTTTAAAATCATTCTGAAATTTTAAAACCGCTCCAAGTGACATACATGTTAACTTGATGACAGGAACTACTGTTTCGTTATTGGGCTGGAAAACATTTCCCCAAATTGGGAAAACTATAAAACCCTGGCTCAAGATTTACCTTTGGGCTCAAGAGGGCTGCACCCGAAGATTCACCTCCTAGGGCGGGTGTGCTACTAACTAGAGCAGGGGTCTCCAACCGTGGCAACTTTAAGCCTGGAGGACTTCAACTCCCAGAATTCCCCAGCCAGCTTTGAAATTGAAGTCCACCAGGCTTAAAATTGCCAAGGTTGGAGACCCCTGAACTAGAGTACTTGCAAGTCTGTTGTAAGGTTTACTCAGGGGTCCCAATTCACACCACACATTGAGCTGTCGTGTTTCAGAATGTGGTGTAGAGGTACCAACTGGTGGTGTGTTGAAGGAATCATGGTTAAAAAACGTTCAATGCATGGAACATCGAAAACTGATGGGACCATTGTGTTATGGATAACTGACCGACAATAGCACTAGCGCTCAAGACTTATATACCGCTTCACAGGGCTTTTACATCCTTCTCTAAGTGGTTTATTGTCACAGCCTCTTGTCCCCAACAATCTGGGTCCTCATTTTACCCACCAAAGGACGGAAGGCTGAGTCAACCTTGAGCCTGGTAAGATTCGAACTGCCAGCTTGCAGGCAGCCAGCAGAAGTAGCCTGCAACACTGCGCTCTGACTGCGCCACCGCCGTGGCTCATAAAGGAGAATATACTGTAGCTCAGGGTTGTCCTTGGGGTTCACCAAGCTAGGTAACATCATCAGTGCTAGAAGGGGGTGCGGTTTGCTGTTTCCAGTGCTCCCTTCTAGCACTGATGATGTTACCTAGTTAGGGTAACGAAACCTTTGCAAGAAAACAAGCAAGCTCAGAGAGTAGGTAACTTAATGTAGCAATAAAGAAATGACATTTACAAAAATAATAATAATAAACCCAGTAGAGAATAAATGGCTTTTTGTAGGCTTAAGGAAATAATTGAAGTTGACACACAATACTGTATAAATAGTAATAAAGAGTCCCAAATAGTCTCTTTTCTGCAGCTTCCCACATTCCAAACTAAAGCAGCACTGATAGGAGGGTTCACGCCAAGCAGTAAACAATCCAGGAATTACCAACTCAGTAAACCACAGCCTAATCCAGGGCCATCCAGAACATCCCCACATCCATCCTGAACAGGACAAGCCCCTGGTAAATAACTAAATAGCAAAACCCAACTCCCTTCCAGCACTGATGATGTTACCTAGCCGGAGAGAGAGAACCATGAAACCAAGTGGTTTTTCTGGATTCTCCTGGCCAGGGAGAGACGACGGATACTTGTCCGATCTGATGTCTGACTGAGCGGCCAACCACATCTCTCAAATGGGAATTCTGAAGGGATTTCGAACGGAAGTGTAGCTGGTGGACTCCCTTCCGAGGTCCAAATTGGTAAACCAGACAAGTCATCAGATGCTTGTCTTGTGGTGGAGATACTGGTCCTGCCAAGCCACGATGCCTCTTCGAAGGAGAATTTGTGGAGGACACAACATTGGTTGGCCGATCGCGCTTCAATCCTGACAGGGAAAAATTGAGGCTTCAAAGATTGCAGGGTGGATCCATGGATTTTGGTCCTCCCGATATTCCTGTTTAAGTTTGTCTTCGGAAGCACCTCCGCTGGGGAATACAAACAGTCCTCGGGCTTATAACTCTTCATTTAGCGACCATTCAAAAGTTACTGAAAAAACATAACCGGTC